TTTTCCGACGGAAAATTTGTGTCGGCCAATCACATTTCACAAAATTTTCTTTCCGCGGAAAATTTTCTTGAGTGGAAATGGGCCTTAAAACTTCGATGTTTCGAGCGAAGGCCCAAAACCTTCCGTGGCCATAAGGTATGCCGAAATTCTGCTTACTTTATAGCCACAAGCCGTCAAAAAAGCGAGATGGATACACAGTATAGCTTAAAGAAAGTAGCCGGTATCAAACCATAGATATCTTATATACACTAGATAGTGCATCTAATTATTCTGCAATTCAAAAATTGAAGCCGTGATTGCAGTCTCAGGTCGTTCCCATGAAATTAGAAGATACGTATGTTTTCTATTTCTTAAACAGGGAACTTAAACTTTAAGTTAACCCTATTCCAAATACATTTTTAAACTATTCAAATTATGAAAGTTATTGTTGTTTTTAAGCGTTTATTAGCAAGTGGGAACGACCAACATGGCCGCCATCTATTCAAATGGGGGTAACCGCTGAAGTATTCTTGGCTTCAATTTTACTACAAGAGATGCGCTATCTAGTGTATATAAGATATCTATGTATCAAACCCAGGGCTCGAAATAGCGGGCTGCCAATGGCCAAAAGCAGGCCATATTTTAGAAATGGCAGGCAAAAAAAAATGGCAGCTGCAGCTGCAAAAAACTGCCAAGTAAAAAAAAAATGGCAGGTGAAATTCTATAGATATATTTCATTTCATTTGCTTACCACAACTCCTATATACTAGATCATTTTGTTGACTAAATATGTTTATATTTGAAATGTAAATCCAAGTTTACTGTAGTAAAATAGACAAGTTTAAAAATAATAAAAATGCATATCATGAAAACATTGATTTTTACAATATGACTTTCTTAAATTTTTTAGCACATGGCCCTAAGTACTACTCTTGGCTGCCAAATCACCAGATCTGGAAACACAAGGGCGAGGAGTACCGCATCTACGGCGGAGGAGGCTGGGAATGGGTGAGTCAAAACCGGAAACGGAAACTGATCGATCCCATCACGACGGATGAACGTGCTGCAAAGATCAAAAAATTTGAGAAAACCTTCGACCAGGCATTGAAACGTAAGCTTAGCAAGAAACATAAAATGGCTTTAGAGGCAAAGAAATTGAAAGTATCGAAACCTGGGGAAGTGCAGCCGAGCAACACGAGCCAAGCACGTGTTGGCACTACAGTGAGTACAGCGAAAGCACGTGGCGGAGCGATGGTAAATGCTAATCAGATTGGGGTTAGTACTGGTGTTCAAGCTGCGGCAACACAAGTTACCACTGGGAAGACAGTTGCTAGTAAATCTGCTGCACAGATTGTTACCACTACTACAGTGGCTGGTCAGGCACTTGGAACTACTGTTGGCCCTTCTGGCCAGACACCGGTGTTAACTAGTGTGACCACTGGACATTTGGTTACCAGTACAGTAGTACCCTCTACATACACCCTTACCCCTTCAACACCTGGGCAGACACAGGTCACAACTAGTGTGGTAACTTCCCAGGTGGTGAACAGTGCAGGAGTACTTCCCGTGAAGATCCTTACCACTAGTACAATTCCTGGTCAATCGCCTATAACTACTGGTACTCCCTCTGGCCAGAAAGTAATCACAACAGGTGGAACTACTGGTCAATTGGCTTGCAGTACCATACTACGCCCTGAAGTATCTTTGTCTAGTATTATAGCTACTGTTCCAGTACCATCTTCTCAAGAAAACGTAAGCACAACCATGGCTGCTGGTCAACCTCCACTCACCAACACTGTCGACACAGTAAAGACAATCACTTCACCAGTCACACAAGTGAAACCTCAGGCAACACCTGCAACATTACTCAACCAACAGCAAACACCACCTTCCACCTTGGTCATTCCTCTTGTAACAACTACTACACCAAACTGTGGTGTTTCAGAGGAAACTGTGGCAACATCTATGATAAGTGATCTCAGTGGACCTTCAACTGTAACAACCATGCAAGCTACATCCACCACTGCTCAGACATCACCCAAAACAACCCCTCCTATAACCCCAGGCGGCTCCACTGCTACACTTATATCTTCAACCCTAGCTATGTCTAGTGCACCAAACATATTAGCAGCAACCACCAATGTCTCAGCTGCAGCCAAAAATGTCCCAGCAACAATATCAAGTGATATGACCATGAGTGACCCATCAACGTCTGCAACAACTACAAGCAAACTGTCAGAGACCACAAGTGACCATTTACCCACTCCCGGCGATGCACTACCATCAACAACAAATACGTCTGTGAGTAATCTATCAACTACTGCCAGTAACCCACCAGCAACCACATGTAATATGTCATCAGCAGCTACCACTGTTTCACCAATACCTTCGACAACAGACACCACCTTGTCCTCAACGAGAACTAATGTTACTCTCTTAAACTCAAATGTATTACCCAGTTACTGTACCCTACCTCCAGTATCGTCCACCTTACCTGCAATGATATTTGATGAACCAGCAGAAACACCATCGCCCAGTGTAACAGATGTACCATCAAGTACCATTATGATACCTGTACTAACCAGCCAAGACTCTACCATCAACACTGCACCATCATCTTGTGTAGCAGATACACGTGTATCATCTGATGGACCCGCTAGCAATAACTGTACTGGTTTAAGTGAAGAAGATACAACAAATAAAGAACTGTCTACTGCTAAACCGTCTGGTGATGTGGTCAAGAATCACACTGTTAATGATGTCATTTCTACCGTGATGAATGGTACCTGTTCCGGTCAAACCCTTTGTGCCACTCCTAGCTGTGATAACAAAGCTAAGCCTTTGGATTCTGACGGTAACACAAGTCAGAGCAACAATGATATAGAATCTGGTCCCTTGGTTCAGCCTGGTTCTGTACCAGGTATTTCGGCACTATCAGTGAATCAATGTGGTCAGTCGATTGATTGTGAACCAGGCCATGGTACAGAAGAAGTAATGGACGTTGATACAGTTGACAGTATTCCTCGAACAGACAAATCTTCAGCTAATGTTGGAACTGCAAAAGAAGGATGTGTTCAAGCAAAGCTGGAGAGGAAACTGGAATCAGATATTCAGGTAGTTGTAAAGGATGGACCCAAGGAGCAGGACCTTTCTTCTTCAAGTGATAAAAAAGGTGAGACATTGAGCTGTTCTGAGAATGATACGAACAATGCTAGTGAGTCAGACAGTAAAACTACGGTAGAAAACTCTGTCACTGTTGAGAAGATGGATGTTGATGATCCTAAGAACCAGCTCAATGGTGTTAGTCAAGTTGGGTTGACA